AACGCCAGATACAATCACAAGGCTGGCCAATGCAACTAGATTTTGTATATCACAGTTGGATATTTTAATAGCCATTAGGAGGCCGCTCACTGTCACTCTTGTACGCAGTCACCATTTCAGTAAACAGAACAGGAAATATTGATTTCCTATTGGCTTTACTACTGCCTTGCTTATAAATAAATAGTCCAATCAGGTGCTGTCTTCGATTTACTGCATTCCCCGAGGTTTCAGTGGTAGCAGCTGTCCGGCGTGGGCTGCAGACGATCGATACTCGATGAACGCAGAGCGTGCAGATGGGCTTTGATTGGCAGTCAATTCTATTGAAACGGCAACGCAAGCGTCAAGAATTATTTATATAAATGTATGTTGTAAGCCTATAAGTGTAGGGGAGCTAGAGCAGTTTGAGATTTTGTTTATTTTTTATTATCATCTTCTCTTGATATTCATATTGTATTCAGTGAATCCATCACCCCATGCTTGCCCATGTCAGTAGTTCAGGACAAAACTCTTATGGCATAAAAGCGGAGAATAAATATCATGTAACTGTCGGAGTTATTGATGTACATTGATTTTTATGTTATCTTTATTATTATCAATACGGCTGTAAAAACCATACAGCCAAATTGCAAAGGTATGTTGTCCATGCAAAAGAAGGGTCAATATACATTCCAGTGTAGTGTTACATAGGAGTAACAGCAATAACAAACCACTGAACATGTAAGGCTACTGTATCATAATCCGATTAGGGGGCATATATTCTAATTATATCGTCAATAATCTAAAGTCAAAGCACTTCTGTTAATGCCACATTTGTTGGTGTAAATCGGAACCATACGCTATGTGTTAGCAATCCGTCTCCAAAAGCATGCCGTTACATGCAATATGAAACAAGTTATTTACGTTGCCTTAGGTGTAATCATAAACAACGGTCTGCTTGTCCCGTAGAAGGGGATGGTTAAAAACGCCGATAGCTTTACTAAGATCGACTGCAAGTGCCTGCATCCTTGCCCATAACATGGCCCTCCTACATTCTGAATCATGCCGTGTCTTTTGTGTATTCAATATGAGAGGTACCAGCCATGCATAGCTGGATCATTGAATAAATATACTGCGCCTGGGTGCCGGCATTATTGGGTAAAGTTCGATTCTTAAAGAAGAGGCAGAGCACGGGTTTGGTCGATTTTTTGCCGGCGCTCAAGCACCTGCTCTCGACTGAGGTCGCTCAAACATCTATCTGGCAGCAACGCCGTTTGAAGTATTTTCTAAACATACAAGTGCCAGTCGATGGTTGGAGGAAATAATTCGTGGAAATAGTTTACCGTTGAGATATTTTGACGCTCCTCAGCTATTATCTGAATCGAAACGAAGTTTGTGAACACGTAAATAATATTTCTCCCTCTGTTCCACTTGCGGTGAGCATCGATTTCGAGATTACGTGCAATCGGCTGCTTCTGTTCAGTTGTAAATGAACGGTGAGTCGCGTATAGGAAGGTCTCGCTCTCCCTCCTGCCCAAATATATTGGTATACAGGTTGGACGAGGGAGTTAAAGGGCATATTTCACCCCTTTTCTACCACAGTGCATGACCAACAGCTGGAAGAAAGACTGACAAAGGGCAACGATTTCAATTCAGGAAAACCACGAGAGTGAACTTTTGCAAGTACAAAGGGGCAGGTATTGAAGGGATGAGTCGCTTTACTCCCTCATGCTGACGCATTCATGCTGAAGGCAATCTTTGAAATCTGATCAGATATTTTAATAGAGATTCTACCTGCAATTTGTTGACTGGGTAGCAGCAGGTGGTTAACGTTGGATTTACCCTGTGTGCATGGATTTAGTGAATTTTAATGTTTAAATTGTGACTTTGACGATTCAAATTGACAATCTCTGTAGATTTGTTGCACGGAGTATGCAGTATAAGGAAGATGCGCTATTTGCTGTCTTTGTACGGTAGGGCTCTCTCTCTTTCTCTCTCTCTCTCTCTCTCATGTTAAGCTATAATTTGACACAGTATAAACAATTACTTGATGTCAGCTTTGCTATTTTTTATGCTTAATTGCTCTGTCCATCTCCCCCTCTCTCTCTCTCCCTTCTCTCTCCCTCTCTCTCTCGCTCACAAATATTTTGACCCAGCATGGAAATTGTTGACTGTCATTTACTAATTTGTGAAATACCCATGCTGTCAGTGATCTCACTGAATCGATGACTTCACATATCTCACTCACACCAGCCTTGTATGCATCATTAATCACACTCAAAGATAGATGCGACGCGGTCTGGTATTTGGAATAAAAGCCATTGATGCTGTATTGTGATATGTAACGATAACATATCACTGAGCACTGCGGAGCTTGTATTGATGCATGTATGTATTGAAAATTATCAACAAACCTTTCATGGGAGGATACATAGGGGCGTTTTCTTCAAATTGAAAAAACTTCAATATCAAAACTTTCCTAAATGGGGTATATTGAAGTGGAAACAGCAAGAAATTATTAAAAAAAGAAACAGGTAATAGTAGACAATCACGAATAAATGACTGTGTTGTACCAATGACTTAAATGGAGTATATTGAGGCGGTGACAGCTAAAAAGAAAACACGTTAGAGTAGAAAATCACGAATTAATGACTAATGCGTTGTACCACACACTTCAAACATCCGTTGACTAAGGAGAAGAAAAACATGTTCAAAAAGAAATTTCTTTAAAAATAATAGAAGTGATTTCTTTCGGGGGAAATTAACAATTTTGACAAAGGGATTGCCCCATAAATTGAATGGTTAGAAATTTCTGCCAGTCTCAAAACTGAAAACAAATGGCATAATATCTGATGCTGTCCTATTGACATATCAATTTGACCAGTGTCTGATGTTTTGAATTATTAAGTAAATTGGGTGGTCAAGTAATATTCACGTTTTGCCTGACTGGCCAGTAATAATGTTGATAATCCGTGTTATTGACCGTGTTAGTACCTTGACACTCTTGCCTTTAGATTATTCATATTTGCCCTATTTATTATAAAGCAGGAAATGGTAAAAACAATGCAGTGCAACTGAGCAATAACAATAGCGCAAAGTTCAGTGAATCATTCGGAATATGTAAGGATAGATAGGATGTCAGATCTGGATGTTTCGAAATAACAACAACAACACAATACCACCACCACCACCAATAATAATAATAATAATAATAATAATAAACAAACTGCCAACAAAACCAACTTTACATACGAATGCTAAACATTCACAATGCCTAATTCCCGAAACAGCATTTACAGTTACATGTACGTGTTTACTCACTCAATTAACACAAGCTATAATTTGGAATAAATCTGCTTTGACAGGACCATGTAGTATATAGCTTACAGAGGGGAAATGTTCGACTAAATGCTCAATAGGTCATCACCATTAAATCAGTATTATACCATTCTACTAGTACAACGGAAGCTTTTGAAATTTTCGAATAAGCCATTCGACCAAATTACGTGCCGAATTTAACTAAAGCCCGCTCATACCCATACTTTGACCGCTGTCCTGGGCCCCGTAACTCAAAAATATCGCGCCTCGATTCCATAACTCGCCCATGCTCGTCCCATGTAATACATCGTAGTCTCTATGTGATATCGCTATTCGCAATATGCGATGCTTTCGAGTTACAGGGCCCAGGCAAACCACTCTTTTCCGTTGGGTTTATTAGACCACTTCCCTCGCCGACTAAAAGATTCATACCAGACGTGTCTTTTCCGACTAATCAAAAGTTATAGTCTATTAGGTATCGTTTCAAACCAATTCCATAATTGCGAGTGTACTTTATTTTAATAATTTTCTTGGAAAAAACTAAAAATAATAAATATAGGAAGACCGCTGACTACACTTAATGTGCACAGTTTTCGAAAGTCGTTAGTAAAAAACACAACTCTTTGTCCCTTCGGAAGAATTTATAGACATTATGGGCTACCAATCGATGAAAAATGGTCTCTGATGTTTTATTTCAAAACTCGAATACAAGAAGGATGCGTAGAACTTAAAATATTTCACTTCCGATTATGATACTGTGTCGCTTCCCGCCTTGATGACACACAGGGCACAAATAAACAGACCTACATGTGCGTTATAACTCTTCACAAGGACTTCTGCTGCGTCACATAATCTAGCAATTGAAATTGAGAGTGCAGTGGTCCTCACAAACTTAATAGAAAAGCAACCAATATGCATGTACCCCGGTACTAACTGTATCTTAAATAACAATTCAATAATCACGTAACCCATCAGTTTCTTTATCACCGGGTACCAGCCACGACCGCGCGGCTGGGGCTGAGGCGATGTATCGACTGCGCGATGACAGCCTGGGCCTAGTGCGGCTAGTTGGCCCACCGAGACCAAGTTTGATTGAATTAACGTTATTTGCGCAAGATTTTCTGGCCGAAGATTGATTTTCCTTTAGAGTGTCTTAGACACCGTTGTTCTATATGACTCTGGTTTTGAACGTACACTATTGGCAAATATTTCCTGTTTTTGGAGAAAGTTACTTTGAATGAGGGCATGTTTCATTTGAAATTTCTTATTGGTGGACCTACCGCACCAAAAATGTTAATTATCGTTGATATTATTTCTCCCTAATTTTATTTGGCCTTAGGGCATGGTTGGGAAAAAAGAGGTCCCAGCCAGTGATGAATATATATTTTATGTCCAAAATCAAGGTATCGATATTTAGATGGTTAATGCGCACTTACGCTCCTAAAGTAGCACAGGTACAGATCGATTATTTACTCCGCATTTATGAAAAAAGCTGTAATAACAAACAATGACTACTAAATTTATCGCTGGTGAGTGAAAAAATAGAAATATGGATTTAAATCGTTTTCCTATTCTATACAGCAAAACAATAATAACGTTTAGGTGGATTTTCAATTATTTACTTCACATGTTTTAAACGTACCAGTGAGCGATTGACTCAATTTCTGCAAAAGGAAATTATTCAATGCCATTTTTTATCATTTCAGTTTTTCTCTTACACCTGGCTATCTGCGCCAGTGACGAAGAATGCGACAAATGTGGTAAGTTGAGGTCATTGCCAAGGTCATTAGAGCAAACTGCAGGGTAAATAAGCAGTATGTACATCACAGAAAATCCACATTGCGATGCAGGTTTTTTTTTAACCACAGAACATAATTTATACTCAGAATACACGATGGCGGCTGGATTTAAAGCGCGGCAAAAATCTTTATTTGACTTTTTTCGTACTATTGTTTCATGAGATATATTTATGCTGAACCCGATAACACGTCTGAAGAATCACCAATCGTTTTTGTCTGTATAATTGTCGCGTTGAACCCAGAATTCTTTATGGTGCTTGCCACGAACACTGTTGTTACATTGTGAACGAGTAATAATGTAATAATAATAACGTGTAAACAGCTTAAATTAGGAAATCAATTTCTAATGAAAGTCTACAAAAACACAAACACGTTCTGACACATTCATAAAAACATGATGCCGAACCGACTTGTAGATGTTACTTGAAAAACCCACCTCGTCAAGTCATATGCTCTTTTTAAACTGAAAAGCAAATACGTCTTACTGATCAAAGGGCTTATTGTATATTGCAGACAGAAATCTTGGTTGACATTAAACGAAAGATTTCGTGATAAGAGGAAAATTACAAATAATATTAATAAACCGAATGGTAATATTTGATGTTGTTGGGGATTAAAATCGGATATTACTTTTGCATAATTAATACCAGGCGAATTTTATCCATCTAGATTTAAGTACACCAGCATGCACAGTTTCATTTTCTATGAGAAAGGGGCATGTTCCTGCTCTGCAAAGAAATTTGCAGTTGTGTACATATGTCCATGTTGTTATTTTTAAACCCCCTCATATTGGGGTTTTCAAAGAGTTGTCCAGTGATTCAGTCACAATATATATAGCATAAGTGAAAAGTTTTAATAAGTTGCAATTAATAATTGCCATTTAGTTGCCCAAGTTAAGCAGCAGTGGAAGTGAAAACCACAGCTCTTACCCGACTAAAGCACAAATACATGTATGTAAATGGGTTACGTTTGTCACTCTGAAAAGACTGTTTAAGTCCATATGTGTATTGCTTCCCCTGGAGAAGCTGCTGCTTTAGATGACGCTTCACGTTGACGTAATCTTTGCTACATGTATATACTGGATATTGGAAATATTGGATGAACAAGTGCACCTGGGGCGTTTTATAACACAGATTAAACTGAAAGTGGCATTTGACTTTAAAACTAAAAAATTCACTCAAGTACTCTGACGTTAGGCAAACTAGTAGTAGTCCAAACTAAATTTTGGGCCTAGTTTTGGAGAAATTTGAAATGGAATTGCCTTTTTTAGACTCATAGGCAACATTACTTCAGTAGACGAATACAGGTTTATCCTAGATTCTAAATATTAATTTCATATCTTAATATCTCAAGCAAGATCACTGTTTAACCTCATTACTTTTTTAATATATCTGTATGGACCCTGGGTTTTTAAATATTTCCAGTCGACGTAATTCCGTGTTACCAGTGCTCTACTATGACCAAGGGGGAGGAGTACTGTGAAGACCCCTTCAACCTCTCCCACAACACGGTCCGGAAGGTGCCCTGTAAGGGAGCTTGCGTCAAGTGGGTCATAAAGCCAAAAGCAGGTAAACTGAACTGGGTGGTGACGATGCTCCATGTTTGAAATGAAATTATTTATCTAATTGGAGAATTTTAGTCCATATAGGCCTATATAAATGTATGCACATGTATTATATTCCTGAGATCCTGAGAAGTTGTTTTGCCACCACGTATTCGAAGTGAAAATGTTAATTTAATTTCAATAATTTTTCATACTGTCTGATTTTCTACTTTACTTTGTACGCCAAAAATGTTTGAGCTACAGTTTCAGGCCTTTTAGCCTCATACCCATATTAAATATTTCCTCTGTTAAATTTTAAACCATACATGTATTGCATTACCGTTGTAATAATTACTCTGTCCTACAGTATTTCTGTTTATCAAACGTCTGTTCTTTTCGCTTCAGACCAAGATTTCACGCACGTAGTCCGCAGCTGTTATAACGATCTGGACATCACTTTTCCTGCGGCCCTGGTATGCATGGGGGAATCTCGTCCTGGTTATGGCCACCTATGCTTTTGCAATACCGAATTATGCAATGGCGCCTTTGCCTTGAATGGTCATAGGACGACACACTTTTGGACGTTAATATGTGTGACTTCTGTTGCACTGTGGTTTGTCATGCAGTATCTGGATAGCGGGTCATTTGATGGAATTTGCAGACAAATTGTATTTCTAGTCTGCATAGCACTGTCTTCTGTACGGTTAACTATTGCCTCTTTGGGTGGGCCGTCAACCACTCGTACGTTTCGAGATGACGGATAAAATTAAGAAATAAAGAAGTCAATGAATTATTTATCAATTTTAATATAAGCAAAGTATGACAAAGGTCTGAGTTAATTTTAATGTGGATGCGATTGCAATTTTACTGGAAGTTGTAACTTCAAGTGCATAGTCGTACATAATATTACTATGGATGAGTAACTTTGGATGAGTAACGTCAAATCATGATAATGGGGATACAGCTTTGAAGAGGTTGTCAAACATAATTGCAAAGTGCGAACATGATTTAACATTTTCGATTGGTTTTATAGCTTTAGCGTTTCGTGTTTGATTGCACGAGAGAGTAGGTTGGATGGTTAACCACGAGCAGTATTATTGATGCGTTTTTCACTTTGCAGTGGAAGTCAAGGACTTTTTTTTTGCGATGTGCTCTTATTTTAAACTGTTTATTCCCTCTTAACTTGTACCATAGGGAGATACACGTACTAATTTCTGCACTCAATCGGACGCCAGTGCATCATTAAGCAAATGGCACCCAGTTCCTTTACGATATTAGGCAATCCTCGAGTGGATAGCAACCTTGTTACAAGACGTGAATTTGCAAAACTCGTAAGAATAATCAATGGGCTCAAGCTGCAAGCAAGTGTGTTGATTACGTTCCGTTGAATTTTTGATGTTTTATGAAGCATTTAACTTTTTGACTGAAAATCTTATTTTTACCAAAGATGCATGTTTGTATTTATTATATCGTACAATAATCCATTAAAATAGACATTTGATGAAGTGTTGTTTGGAATCACCATCACACATACAACAGTCTTTCCGATTAAAAAGTAAACATATAATACTGAAAATTTAGTTTTCCGTAACCTTTTGCAAATTATACAATTGCATTCCAAAAAGTAGCTCTTAGCTTTAACCAACAAGGTACTATTAATTTATCATGATGAATTTTGATTGGTTAAAGTAACAAAGGTAATTGGTTTATAAGTAAGATGCATTTTAGAACAATCTTGAATATGGTTAGTGGAGGTGAAAATTAAGTATTACAAAAAGAGGGAGTATCTATTAAATAATATAAACATCATATTTATGCTGATTACATGTGATATGAACATACAATGTGTGCATATCTTTTTTTTGTTTGTTTGTTTGTTTGTTTGTTTGTTTTGAAAAGATTTTAGATGTTTTGCGTCGTTAAATTTTTTTCAAACTTGTCCATGAAATATGTGATGCCAATAAGCAAGACGCATGTTTTGTCCTTGTGTTTTTTTATTATATAAGGGGTAAAAGTGTGTTTAATGCACAGTTATCTTATCTCTTTGTTATTGACTGATAGTGAAGCTGTTTCTATTCTAATAAATTATCTCACCTATGCATTTTAACAGATCGTTTATCAACATAATATGATCCTTGCGTAGACTTCTTGTGTACCGAGTAGCTCAGTATGTAGTTTACTTTGCCGTTTTATTGTTTTCTCGTGATGCCATCAACAAGTGGGACTAGAAACGGTGCTTCGTTAGTATAATCTCATCTACTGTGCATAATGGAAATTCCATAATTTCTTTATGATTTGAACTTTTTCTTATGTTCTACATGTGTTTGCTAACAAGCAATGTAGTGCATGCACTGTTACTAATTATACCGGTGTATCATTAAGACTCCAATTGACTTTTACTATTATTAAGTCTGGTAAAGATCGAGGGTCATCTTTCTGTAAACATATTTAGGCCACTATGCAGTAATTTTGCACTCCTTACGCTGTTACTTAAAAATTTCAAAGATCACTTTGATTTCTTTTAGAAGTCCCTTCGTGTTAGGGTAAAACAAAATTACCGGTGCAACCGTTGTGGAAACGTTCAGAAGGCATTTAAAACATAATAGCTGTCCGATAAATTGACGGAAGTTCCGTTCATAATCACCAATTAGAGGTGTATATAGTTAATCAATACGATTTTTTCATTCCTTTAATTAGTTTAACCGATTTTGACCCAGGGCACGGGTGTTCAGACATAATGGCATTACGGAGTGCGATAATAAAATCCATTAACTTTCGATTTCTGATGGCTTCTGTTTTGTTTATGGCGTGAAAGTAAATTCAATTTACCTTCGATTTCTGATTGCGTAATTTAGATTTTTGCTTCACAAAATAGTAGTCATAACATTTGGCAAAAAGTCATGTCAGAGACCTTCTCCCCCCTCCTCAGCATTTGCCTAAAACGTAGGAATTATGAATGTCTCCCTTTGCGTGGGGAATGTCTGGTTGAAAAGTGCAACAGGCACAATGATTGAAGTCTTACCAAACGCAATGGCAAATCCAATACGACAAACTTCATTTTTTCGTGAAACATTTTAATTCAATTTCAATTCTTAAAAGAATTAATGTTTCAAGCTAGAATCAGCATGGGACTTACACGTAGATGTGTATAACTACCTGGTAGTTAGTAGGTCGCATTAAAACAACATTAAACATAACAAGCTTGTTATTGGTGTTTGGGTAAAGTTGCTTTTATGCGACCCGCTAACTACCATTCCCTAGCCGAGTAGTGTTTATTGTTGCTGTAGCCATGTTCCGAATGAACGTTATCATACACAACGTTTTATTAACTGATGGATTGCGGCAGATGTGCTCCGAAGCAATATACAAATACACGAAAGTTGCGCCAGGAGAAACCAAGAGTAGGCCTATATTATTTACTATCACAGTTTTGATTATTGACGTCTCATTCATCGATATTCAAAATTATTTGTTAAGAAACACGTGAATGAATGCAGTTCCTCAGATTATTTAGTTTGTATTTTATTCCAAAGTCATGATCCCCATCGGACGGGGTTACTGAAGCGTACAAAACTTAATTGAGCTATAAAATGCAATTATCTCTTAGCTATTTATACATACACGTACATGCATTTAGCTAGTTTTAGAAAGGCTCGATACCAAATTGCGAATAACAATAAATGAAGGTTGAAAGGAAGGAGGAAAAACTCGCTTCTCAAAAACCAAATTATAAAGCCACCAAAAATGAAATGATTGTTGATTTACTGAAATAATCCTTACACACTGGTAATTCTGTACAATTCTAAATGGTTAACAGCGTGACCTGGTGTCAGTAACTCCAGTGAGACCTTTTTTGATTTTAATATCTTTTAGTTATCATAAAATGTTGAATACGTACCTGCGTTAGTCTACGTTTTTAACCAAGCAAAATGGAGAAGCCCACCACTACGCGTAAATTTACAACTTATATAAATGAAAGTTTTTTTTCATAACGCCTCGTTACAGGTTAAATGAAAACTTGAGATATACTTAGCAGTATCAGGGATTCTCCGTGCGATTTGTAAGCTGGGAAAAGTCGTGTTGTAGAATTTATACACCAATGTACTTATTACCGTCCCAGCACATATTAGCCTAAGATAAACCTACATGGAAGTGCATAGAATAAGTACCCATGGTGAATCCAAACGCTAACAGAGCATCATAGAATAAACTGCTATTATAATTGCCCCAGTCATCAACCTAATGGACATATGCCCGAAAGAGTTAGGTACTGCTGCAGCGCCGCTTGCAGCTTGCTCTGTATTACATTTGTCGCCGAAACAGAAATAAACTCTTCCGTTGACGGTTGAACCATATTTAGAATGCTGTAATTTCCCAATGTCCTTTGCGTATCCGGTAACGTCAGAGGAATACGAAGCAGATGATTTGGAAGGAGAGCATCCTCTTTCAACGACGTCTGTTACAAAATCTTTGTCACCCTGAAACCAAAAAAGAAATGCAACATTAAAAATAATGCACGAATGACACAAGCTCATAAATGATACACATGTGAGGTGATCATTTGTAAATAAAAGCACATGGAATAAGGGGTGGGACAACCTTTTTGACCAATTTGTATATTCTACCATTTTTGATTTGGCTTATGTTTTTTTACGCTTTTTTCATGCAATGGGCCGATAGTATCAGCATAAAAGGATGCACCAAAAAGTTCTGAAAGGGAGGGCGGGTATAGGCTTTACATCTCATGTTGAACTTACCGCTGTATCCTTTATTGTCCACTGGGCGTCAGCAGTGAAGCAGGACCCAAGACACTCCACCGTCGAGAGCGTCACACCGTCCCTGCATTTGGCATCTGTCAGTGAGCGTTGGTCACTGTCCACCTTAACCCCTGGTAGCACTGCCTGGTTTGCGTAGGCCTCCACGTATGTGCATTTCAGGCAGGTATTTTCTGAAGAAAAATGCAGTATCAGTTCGAACAATACATGTAGGCCTACATGTACGTTAGGAATACAAAAATATGCATATACATATGTATCTGCAACAGGCCCGTAGCTAGCAATTCCAAAGGGGGGGGGGTTCTTTTTCTTAAAAAGTGGACCTTTTACCATATAATCCCCATGTATCTAGGTCAAATTTTACCCAGAGTGGACCTTTTTCCAGCAAAAAGGGGGGTTCTTTCGAACCTCCCGAACCCCCCCTGGCTACGGGCCTGTGCAAGCTCATATTTCATTCACATTTAGAAATAATATCATTAGCATAAAACGGACTAAATGTACCAGACACATCTACGTATAAGTCCCGTGCTGCTTCTAGCTTGAAGATTAATTTTTAATTTTTAAAGAAAAAATGAAGCTTCTCGTATTAGATTTGCCATTGCGTTTGATAAGACTTCAATCACTGTGCCTGTTGTTCTTTTAAACCAGACATTTCCCACGCAAATGAAAGGGAGGCAAGGGGGTGGACCTCACATATAAACCTTTGCTTGCCAAATGCATACGTTATTTTATATACATACTCCGACAGCCAACTCACTTTTACACGTAGGCGGCATGGGATCCCATCTGCGGTGCTGAGTACACGTGGATTTGGCAGGACCCACGGCGTGATAGCCCGGCTCACATGTAAATGTACAGGTACTGAAGATCTTGTGATCCTCGCTGCAGTGTGTCTTCCCATTCATGATATCTGGAGACTGACACCAGATGTCCTGCTCTGAAAAGTGGAGAACAAGACACGCTTCATTTGTATTTGTCAAGAAATGCCATGCGCTGAACAAATTGCATGAAATCACTGAACAAATTGCATGAAATCATGAATATAAATCATGTTCACTATTATCTATCCATCTATTTCTCAGTTCTGTGTTATCAATCGTATCCAAGACCCGGTTTTCAATTAACAGACACTGGAAATGAGATTGATCCCATCTGTTACGTAAACTGCCGTACCCCGTTTCTTTAAAATTTGTTGCCATGCCAGTAAAGTATACTTCTCATTTCTGTTTTATAACGTTAAGTTTGGCTCACGCCTGGTGTAAAAAGCAGTTCTTCTGCATGGCGTAATTCAATCAACATATTATTAAAACTCTGCACGCACGAGAGCACTAGCAACTCTTCAAACCGTGACAGAACATTTGAATCCATGAGGTCAACACTTTGTAAATGCTTGCTATTTTTTCTGAGTCAACTTATTTTATATGTCTGATAAAAAGTTGTACTGAACGTCTGGAAACGTCGCATTGAATTGGCAAAACTTACAAATAACGTCGGACTTCTTGCAACTTTTATATGCGCATAATATGCTTTTCTGTCTTGGTTTTATCCTCAGAAAACCTTTTTCTGGATTCGCCATTAGCTGTCTATATCAATTAAACTTCAGGTTCGTTAAACCGCTGTAATGCATATAAAACATGCTTGCTACTCGATAACTATGCTTTGGAGTTTTTTCAAGCAGAAGTTTTGCCGGCAAACAGATGGAAAGGAAAGGAAACCAAAATAACCAACAGCGTTACCCAAAAAATAGCTCACCGAGCAATATTTCTGTCGTTATCAAAGAGAACTGACACTTTCTATGGTATTTACCAATGTAATCCAATGAAAGTGATATTTCCGAATTTAATTGCAAGAACAGATTGATTAACATTTTTATGGGAATGTTTAATTTCAAAAGTAATATATTGAACATTAATTTTTACGGACCCTGTGGTGATGCGTAAACAACATAACGATCAGCTCGGATGACTTAGTCACACACAGGAAAAAGGTTAATAAGCCTCTGTTTTGTGACCTCAACTTCAAGCTGCTTTGCCTTCTGTATACATGTATATCGTCTGACAAGAAACGTTATATCTAACCCTGCATTGGAACAATATTTCTTTGTACGGTGCATATATATGTCCATGTATATACTTTTCTCTCTGACTTTCTGTGTAAATTGTTTCTACCGTCATTGCAATGACATCAGTGTCCTTTAAGGTGAAATTAAAGGGTTTTAGAGAAAAGCCAAGGCAAATAAAATACGCATTTACTTTGCAGATAGGATAATTAATCTGTATTTGAGCACAGAATTTTATTTGAGTGATTGCGTAGTATTCAACACCATGTTCTAGCTGTCTGCTTGTATACGTCAGGTAGAATAAAACGTTGGCACAGTTCTGAGTTCCTCGAGCTGAACAAAAACGCTAGTAACATGACAGATTATTGGCAACCAGATTGCTTATCACAAAATCTGTTTTCAGGAGAAGATGTACCCCTTAGCAATATTACACTTCGGTATTTAATTCTTTAAAGCAAAATAGAAGTTTTAATCATTCGAAAATACTCCTAACGAACACATTCTGCCAAAATAATAAGATTTTCTGAACAAATGTTTGTCCTTACTGTCACAGTGAGGTAGATAGGTCCATTCCTGGTTAGCCTGGCACGTGGCGGCCACGTGGGGTGGACCGTCCTGGGAGAACTCGAATCCCTCTTTACACCCAAACTGACATGTGGTTTCTACAGAGAAGTCCTCACCACGACAGTACCTGATGTTTCCATTTTCTACAAGTGGCTGAGGACACCAGTTGGCAAGCTCTGTAAAAAAGATCACAATACTGTGATATAGTAAAAATTGAGTTTATAGTCTGATAACCTCAGCAAATGAAATTAGCCGGATTTATACTATAATCTAAAATCAGAGAGTACATAGAGGAGACATCAATTGGGAACCTCTGCAATAGAGAGAAAATACGTGTAATACAGACGTCAATTGGAAAGCTCTGTAAAAGAAAGCTCATGTTTATTAGGGGAGGATCCACGATTATTTTAAGGGGGAGGGGGGTCTGCGGATGCAAAGCCGACCCCCTCAACCATTGGCATAAAGTGCCGGGCCCGCTTAAGGGACCCGAAAAAATTTGGTATTTTACAGGGCAAACGGTGCCATCTGATACGGTTTAGTACTAGAAATCAGCTAGTCAAAATTCTTATTCCAAAAGGGGAATATTAGTGTGATTTTTTTCAGAAACCGAAGGGGGGTCAGGACCCCCATGACCCCCCTCTAAATCCGCCACTGTTTGTAATGTGGTCATCATGCAGTTGTACAGCGTTTTCCTTCGGGTCGCTGTTGAATTTTAAAGGGAAATTAATGAAAATATATGTTCCTTCAAAAAATATTTATAAATCGACTTTTGACTTTTCAGTTTGATAATACGAATATATTAAATATTCGGGATAATCTGGAAATGATTCACTCACCAAAAGTCTGGTGTAAACATTTCGTTAACTTTGCAGAAAACAGAAACTCTTCTACAGTACGTTAAGTAGAGCGGTTTGAACGATCGGCCTGAGTTAACCTAGCAATGCTTTGCTGAAGTAATAATAGTAAAGAAGTAAATGCCAAATTCTCAACGGCAACTTCGTCTGATAACATGGTATTTCTCCAGTGCTGTTTATATGTGCAACGAGTGGAAAAGAAGTGGCGAGTGACTGAGGGCGTCTGGATTATAAATATATGTATATACGAAGTGTTTATAACAGCACGTAAACCCCTTCAATACATTCATATACAGTTGTACTCCCACAGTTCTTTTTTTGCACAGCAAACGATTTGTTTTGTTTAACCCGTGGGCCATTCTCATATTTATTTAATTTAGAACAATTATAGTACTAATATTTTGAATATATTTATTATTAATAAAATATTAAATTAGATATAACCATTAAAATACCAATTTAGTAAGAGGATCGGGCTATAAGTTTAAAATACGGTTGCAGTAGTTTCGTATCTTTTTCAATGGACAATTTATTTATGATCAACAAATAACCTACACAGATTACACACACACACACACACACACACACACACACACACAGAGAGAGAGAGAGAGAGAGAGTGTGTGTGTGTATGTGTGTGTGTGTGGGGGGGGGGTTAAAGAAGGTCACAATGCTTTTTGCAATGCATTGGTGTGAAAAATACAAATGGACATGATATCATCCATATACGTTACGTACATGTAGTTATGATTTTATGGTCTGTTTCCTGATATATTAAAATCGGTTTCCAAATAAAAAAAAAAGAAAATCTGTATTTGTACTAAGTATAATGAAAACAATGTAACTTACTCTGATCACACCATTCTCCGCTCCAGCCTTTGAAACACATACACTTATATACAGAACCTTCTGGGCGGGTGCGGCCGTTCTTGCAGTAGTTGGAGGCACCTAGAATAGTACAGAGGTATAAGAAATCTTACCCGCTCGGCAAATTGCCTTCACTGGCTCATTTATGGAAAATCAGGCTACTTATTGCATTTATTTATTTATTTATTTATTTATAAACACCAGGGAGCTTGATTTCTTCGTCCGACAATGGTGATTTTTATATAATTTGGTGACTAAGTAAGCGAGTCAGGTGACGAATTGAAATGTGCACAACCAAAAGTGGCTTTGGAATGGCTCTTTTTAAAAAACCTGTCACAAAGTAAAGAATTATGGATTATTTACCATGTTTAACAAATTATTGTAAAAAACATGACAGCAGATTTGGTTATAGCATTATGTAAAATTTCTGCGGGGTGTCCTTAATCTTCACTAGGCGCTCCTCTGGGTTGCACTTGAAACGTATACAATCTACCCCCACTTTAAACGAAAAATGTAAATACGAGCTTTGTGCTTACCTGATGTGTTTGATTCCCATATAATAGCGACAAGCACAGGAAGTATATTAAAGGATAATATTGACCGATTAGAAATAAACATCATGTCTGAAAATATGGCTAAATAATAGCATAAATACTTGTAGGTAATCGGCACCCAGACAGCTTAGATCATGCCACAACTTCAAACCGAGGCTCCGGTGAGGCTGTAAAATGGGGTCCTTGTGTTTGTGCAGCCTTTTTTGTATCATATTTTTTATCGAAAGTGCATTGATGATGATAGTGTGTCTATGCTGCGCAAATGACGTGATATATATATGATGTGCAAACTATCCGATTATGTATTTTCCTCAAAGTTCGACGTTAATTCTGATATCAGGGATTTTTTGTTTCAGCAACGATACGTCAACATTTCATTATCCGTTCTCTGTGTGTGTGTGTGTGTGTGTCGTTTCACCTTTACTGCCATACTAGTGTGGGCAGCGTATTTTGTTCTCCTTTATATTGCTGCAGTGAGTATTGCAGCTCAACTGGGGTACACAACAGGCTAAATGTCACAGCCTTGTAAACGAGTTCAACAGATGTTCCGTTTCTTCTGCGTACAGAGTTCCTTTTCCTTCCATACAAGTTCCTTGAATGTCATTGGAGAATTCTGCCTGTCCCTTTGCTTTTCGTATATTTACTTTTTTATTTCATACCTTTTTGCTTTAAATGAGATCGATGATCACAACAAGTATTCTGGGCTCCCGGATTGGGCATAAAAACGGTCCAGACTATTCAAAGATAATTCAAAAAGTCAGCCCCCAAATTCTTCACATCGTCTAACATTGGTCAGCTCTTTATTTCCGATGAAAAAAAGTAATCCACATACAAAATGCAAACTCAGCTGTCATTAATTATGTTGTGCTTGGGATCGAAGAACCATACGCTTTTTGGGCGAAAGAGAAGTACACAAAATCAGAAAGCCAAGCCAAGATCATAGTTTAATATATTTATACCGATTTTTATTATTGCAACAACGAAGTTATATAGATTTTGTTATTGCCTAACTTTTAGAACAAAATGGTTCGTTCTTTAAGATCCAGTGTGGCCATCACATGTATTGACACAGCTTTATTCTGCGCATAAGTCTCCACTATAGACCGATTTATAATACAACACAGCTCATAGCGACAGATTCCAAATATTTATTCATACCAAAACAAACAATACAGATGAATGTCACATTTGAATTTGATAGATTTTATTGCTTTGTTAAGTGAACAAAGATAAAACTGACATGGCTGGGCGAAACATGTAACCGTTAAACACAAAGGGTGTATAATGAACGTCTTTTAGCAGAGAATAATAATTCATATTGACAACTCCTTTATTAACTAAGGCCAGACAAAATTGGTAACTTGGTTAGGGACCATGAGCAGTCCTAATTTTGAAGACATTTTCTGCGCAGTTCTTTTTTCTTCAAATGGAAATATGCAATGGATATCAACTTGGCAAATGGGAGAAATTTATAATTAACCCCCAAGAAAAAAACTAAATGCTGTTTTTATGCTCTGTAAACTGTGGATTTGAGCCCCCCATTCCCTCCAAAAACACCTTAATACCATATATTTAAAAACAAATTAAAAACAAATTCCGTCTATCCCTGTTTACAGAGTTAACCATCTTGTCAGTTTTGTTAGGCCTAAAAACACACACCAGTACAGCCAAAATTGACCAGGCAAAGGCAACCTCACGCAACAATAATGTACTGGTTATTAATAAAACGCTATCATTTCTTTATTGCCACAGAGTTCAAGATGATGCAGCAAATAATAATAATAATAATAATAATAATAACACAAACTTCAATCAGCTCCCTCCCTCTCTCTCTCTCTCTCTCTCTCTCTCTCTGGAGCTCAACATGTGTATATACCAGCACTCCTGTAGTCAAAAATGTATTGGCTTGATCTTCATGATTCCTTGCTTCAACAAACAGCCAGTATCACAATTTATCCCTGTAACCCCAGCATATTTAAAGCAATGTGCTGGGAAGGAACATCCTGGGTGATCCGGGTGCATTCCCGTAAAAGAGGCTAATCCACAACGGTCAAACCACCATCCGCCTTGGTATGTTCTTGCGCAGTTCTCTCCCCAATTGTCATTGTCTCTGTCGTGCGTGGTAAACGGCTGGCCGTTATGATCACCAATACTATCTTGAGATACGTTGCCAACGAAGCTATTTGCATTCAGCTGCAGTGTGTAATTGTCACTTCCTGAGAATAGGTAGAAATTATCGAACTCAACCCAGTATGAATTGTTGTTATAGGATTCAAACTCAATTCTCAGTTTGTACATGTACGTCTTATTGTAGGTCATAAGGTGGACAATCTCATTTCCAAGCCAGTGGTCACCGGAAACGTCTCCAAATCCATCTCGGTACTCTGCCCAAGTACGGTTAAATGACAGCTCAGGTCCAGTACGTCTGTAAATTACAGTCCAGCCATCTTCACACCACATAAAGCGAACTCTACCGGTGTTGGTATTAGGTTCTCTGATCGCTGTCACACCTTGAAATTAATCGCAATAAATTTGTTCAGCATTCATTCAAATATTGCTGAATTATTTCCCACGATCATTGCATAACACTTAGTTATTAGAATGTCCAAATGACCTAATATCTTTCTTTCATTAATCATATGTTTTCGATAGCATCCAAATCATCTAATCCGGATATAATGAACTACTTCCCCGTATAGAAAACAAATTAACCTCTTTCCAGCAACGGATTTCTTAGGTTTCCGTCACTCAAAATGGATCTATCTGAAGTTTTTGACTAGTTATACTTTTTTATGAAAGAAAACTAAATATATTTTTACCTATGGGGCTAACAGAATTGCCATCGCAGCCCGGGAATACCTTTGGGAAGTGGTGGAGTAATAAAAATTAGTACAAGTAGATAATTTTCTGAATTTGATTTGAATGTTTCACGTTTATGGCAACACATTAAATTTACTTGTGCATTCAGTTCAAAGTAAATGAACTTACACCAAATTTACCTTGAGCAAGGATGAATGATAACATCATATTTGTATGACAGTGGTGATGAACAACAGAAATAAAAGTGGATACCTTGGCATAATACCGCCTTCCTGTGTCAGAAACTGTTTCATTTCGTACATTATTCACATTCCCTCTGTAGATAACACATTCAGTGTCCATGCTTGTTAAATCCAAGAGGTAAAAGTATTGGCAGTTTCCATATCGAAGGCAGATTAGTGCACAATTGATGTTGCTTCTAACAGTATAATGTTGTAGCTCGTCGTCAGTAGATTCAGCCATGGAGGAAACCGAAACAAACCGGCCCAAGCTTTCCATAGACGTCGACTCGCAGATGATACGGGTAAGGAAATCTAAAAACAAAATATTGAGGAATCGATTCGAAAGTAACTCAAATATTAAATCTTCGATTTTTGAAACCAATTTAAGAAAGAAAAAAATGTGAATGGAGTAAAGATTTTAAGCCTTCGAATACAAGCTTTTTTCAAATTCAATTTAAAATGCATTCAACATTTACGTAGAGTGACGGAACGGAGCAATGTCCTCCAAAACAGCATATTAATTCTTTTGTCATGAAAATGTTTCATAAAATGTGTGTCCTGTGTAAGTGTCAAAACCCAATGGAATAACATTTTATAAGTCATAGATCTAAATATATTGTCGAGGCTGGAAAATGGAACCAGTTTCCTGAATCGACAGGATGAAAAAGAACGGCGTGTTTGTTTAGTCGCATTATCATTCCTCACAACAGCAAAGTTAGATGTGGAAATAGTTATTTTATTTGACTAACACTAATGGAACCTCATAAGTTATATCCTGAAAGACAATGCCTTTTCATTGTCGATTTTATCACTCTTTGTTTTGCGTGCAGCTTTCCACTACTTACCGATTTACACACCACTGGATCAGGGAATCAAGTTCCAAACAGTTATTCACATGAAAACGAGAAACATTGATAAATGTTGCATTTGCAATATCTTCAACAACTAAAATTGCTTTGTTTATTAAGTAATCAAACAAACATTCAAAACTGCTTTTTCCTAGGATGTTTAATGTAACTTTGTATTGAGAACAACTAATAGGTTTTATGTTATCAAAATGGTATAGAAATACGTATATAATTAGCTTTGCAAGTCGAGTGCAGACACGCAACAGAACTAACAGAACAAACATGTCAGCTTTTTCCTCCCCTCTCAATCTCTCCTGTCCACATGTGTAATCAGGTACATTGCCCCCATGGTCCAATATGTTTTAACATTTTTATAAAACAAAAATCGCGAGTATATCTCACTTCGGGACTGTTACCGAGAAATATCTTAAATATTTATTTGGAACATACTGAATCATCGGGTTAACATGGAGTTAAATGTTTCTTGCACATAACCCTAATGCACCTTGGTGCCGTTCCGCAACATTTGGTGGATGTATATTAAATTTTCACAGTTACAGGTAGAACTCAAATGACCATGTCATGATGGCATTCTTTCTTCAAATATGTTGTCGAGACGACACTAGCGTCCCTCAGATATTTACAAGGTTTACATAAAAATTTTGATTACGGTCACAGCTCATGGATGCAAGTTCAAAATGTTTATTCGTACCTCAACAAACAATACCGATTTTCTTTGTTCAGTAGTCAAACATACCACCGTTATAACTGCGCATGCAAAGTAATTGTTACACACAAAGAGTGGAAAATGTTCGTCTTCCTGCTAAGAGCTATTCATATTGACAGCACCAAGATGAACAATGAGAATAAACGAACCTTATTTTAAGGACATCAGATTTTTGCGCTTCTTTTTTGACTGATAGTTCCTGTATATGGTGCAAAGTAGTTGATAATCTACAAAATGAGAAAGTACCATTCTATCTTTACTCTTTAAACATTATCAATCCACCATTGTCACAAACAGATGATGAAACAAAACAGTAGAAAATAATATTAACAATTTATATTTCAACCAGCTCTCTCTCGCCTTCTCTCTCAGGATTCTAGAGCTCTCTCTTTCTCAGCATATGCGCATGTATATGCCCCTGTAGTCAAAAATGTATTGGCTTGATTTTCATGATCCCTTTTTTCAACAAACAACCAGTATCACAATTTATGCCCGTAACCCCGGCATACTTAAAGC